AAGTTCCTTGAGGTAAAGCTATTAGGCAAACGACAATAATCCTACCTATTCTTATCATTCTTTTAGTTTGCGGTATAGGTAAGGGGGATTTACGCCGTCTCAATTAAACCTGGTTGGCTAACTTAGGGCCGCAAGTTATATAGAAATACTGGTATAAAAGCTATTGTCTTTGTAACATAGTAATATTAGCATAAAGGCTGAGTCTTTTTACCTTGGTTTGGCTTTAGCTCTATGAGCTGCCTCCATTAACCTGGTTCGGCTTTCTTCCATAGTAAGACATCTATATTAAATCTTGCCGTAGATAACTTAAACGGTTTTGATATAAATTAGTACGGACACGTGTCCGTAAATATAATTAGTTAGGTTAAATATCTCCTAGGAAACAGTTGGTACCTTTAACTTATAATTGAGCAGGAGATAAAGCACCATAGAAGTAGACAGTAGCGCTGTTGAGCTAACTTTGCTAATTTCTCCTCAAATTGGCTACTAAAATAGTACTTGTTCTCTTATACGACCCAATTATGGCACGGTTCTCTCAAACTACCTCGCTGCAGTAGTACTAAGCCTTCATTCAGATCCGTTGTGAGGAAGGCTAAACGATCAACGTTGTACTTTAAGATGTCCTACTCACAGAAGGTGATCTATTTTGCAAGGCATGAATAACAAAGTAAACTGGGTATAGGCACTATTATTTCATTCTTTGGTGGGTTCTTTTGCATAGTTAAGCCTGCCAAAATCCCTATAAGAGATAAGAGCTAGTTAATTTTTTTCTCAATGGTATATTCCCTCCGGCCCGTAGCATCTTAGCTTTTTTATCAGCTCTGGAACTGGTGTCGCATCCTCTATGGGCTGTGAACACCACTAGGGAGACGTCAGTCATTCTATGAAGACCCAGTTTGGCAGCGGTCAGGTTGGCCCTGTAGTGGGAGGACTTAGAAACTTTTGGTGCTTACGGCTGTTATCTATATTTCGCAGCTTTCGCCCAATAATGTACACCCTTCGTGCAAGGGAAGGTTGCTTTTTGTCCCTGAGTGCATGACGTAAGGAGGCCAAAAAAAGATTGACCCTATATTAATAATAGCGTCTGCGGACGCCTTTGTCCTTGCGGCTACATGTTGGTTTGATCTATTGTAGCCAATAGGTTGCCATCCGGAGGTGGAAGGAGACACGCAAATAAACTTATCTTGTGTCGGACATGTCGCCCTCTGCTATTTGGCGGCGTTGTCGATAAGTATCCAGTACGCTCCATGTTTGATTCATTTTAGCTAAACATGGCTAGTATCCGCTTTGATACTAGGACATATTGGTAACATAACTAGCTAATTAATAATGTAAACCAAAGAATTGTGATTATGGTACCTCCCTGGTATGAGCTCTAAATTGAGAGGGCTGTCTCACTCCGGAGAGTTCTGAGTGGTAACTTACGCCAGGTTCGAATGAACTTGAATTTGAGGTTCCCAAAAGGTTAATGGTCCTTCGTTCACATAAAAGGTTAACCAATTGGACTATTTCATTTGGGTGTAGCTCCCCTAGGTCAATGAAGGCCTAAGTTGGTTACTAATAAGAAAACCATCGATTCTCTCTTAGGGGCTGGCCCTGATTTTTAACCACTGCTAAAGATTGAACAAAAGAAAGGGCTTACGGCGATAAGGACCTTAATTTCCTAGTTGGTTTGAGGGCCCTCTCGACTAGGGATGGGTCATGGTTATGTAACATCTCTAGACGAAAGCCCAAAATAACTTGTGCCTTATCCGTTAATTATCTTAAAAGTAAAACTTACTTTCGCTTACCGAAATTAGATATTTAATATGTCTAGGTTATAAGTATAAATTTCCTGTGTACTGGTATACGATAAGTTGAATTACCGGTTCCCAGCTGGGTCAAGATAATCAACAATTTTATAGTTAAATTGTATAAATAGAACTCAAAAGAAAAAAGAACCGCTAGCTTTAAAATATTAAATTTTTAAAAAATTTAAAGGCTTTATTGTACTGAATTTAAATTTGAAGCTTTAATAATTGCAGGCAGTCTAATAAAATATCTTCTATATTTCAAAATATCTTCTATTTTAGATATTTTTTTTAAAATATGAGGGAGAAGGCTGTCCCATTTATCTATAGTTATATTATTGCACACTTTCAAATTTATAGGTTTCGGTCTCTTATCGTTATCGCATGTTAAGCAAACGTAGTCGTTCATTAAAGTTTTAATACTATTGATACAATAAGTATATACACTTTCATTTATATAATTCTTGTAATTCAACAAGTTATCATATAAATTATTTGAAACGTTCACAAATCCAGAGAGTTCTTCGAGTTGTTTGTGGCTACAGCAAGAAGATGTTACCGTGGGACAGTAGTTTTGAACTGCTCTAATATCTACAGCGTTATGACTACTAGAATCAAATGTTGCATTATAAACGGAATTGCATGTTTCTTTAAAGCGGAAACGCGAGTTAAAAGAGACAGAAAAGTTAAGGAGACTTTCCAAGATAGTAGGATTTTGCTCAACAGAAAATATCCGTCTAAAAGAATTTGAAAGAAGTAAAGCCGCTACAGCAACTTCGTAAAAGAGAGTCATTTATGCAAAAGAGGCAAGTTCAAAAGGCTCAAATTTTGGCCTACATAAAGCATAAATTTTACACTCTTATAATAACGAAAAAAGAATCTATTAAACTATTGGGTTGGCTTCAATTATTATACTTATGAAGTAATATGGAAGACCCTTAAATGCTACTATAATGACATAAAACTTAAATTAATTATAAATACTTTTTTTTGTATTCTAATAATGAAGCAATTTTAATAAACTACAGAAGCGAAATGATGAGTTATTTACTGAATAAATCCATGTGATTAACTCGTTTATTACTAAATATTCCCTTAAAAATATTTTATTTAATACAAACGAGTTAATTTCACATTATACTACTGACAATCATTTCTTAGTACGAGAGGGTACAAATTAACTTAAATTTCGGAACCCCTCTTCCTTAAATAGTTTTGAGGTCTAAGAACTTTTTGATATCAAAGTTAGAAAGCTGAAAACCAGGGAATTTCTACTGAGCACAAGCCAATATAACCTAGAATTTTTAATGATATCATCTTTAAGTTTGAGTTCAATCATGTTATTTTATAATTACTACACGTATAAAAAAGATATTAATCGGAACTTACAATTCATTTTTTCCTGCCATTGTGTTTTAAACTGGACCTGTAAAGATTTCTTTTTCTGTCCACTCAAAAAAAATATTTGCAGACCAAAATTAAAATTTTCTTAGGATTTCCTTTGAGTCTGTTAGAGAGCTTCACTGGTCTTTTACTTCAATTTACTTTGTAAAATATGCTTTTTGTGATAGTAATTAAGTAGAACTTCGAGCACATATCACAACTAATATATCTAGAGAAGAATGTTTCAGTGAAGTTCGGTGACTCAAAATACTAACCAGCTCAGTTTAATGAAGTAGAACGAAAAAAATAAATATTTTTTTGTATTTATTAAAATCTTGAGTTGGCACGTAGAACAGATGAATTTTATCAGGTAACCGGGTTAAGCCCAGAACAAAAAGCTTTTCGTCTTATTTTTGTAGATCGAGCTAGCCAGTATTCCCAAAGTACTTTTTATACAATTTCTTTTATTGAAAGAAACTAAAAGCTTTCTTGCATTTGTTCTCTATCTGAACAATTTTTTTAGATTCTTAAATCTGTTTTTCTCTTGTTTTGTCTCTTTGTTTTAAATTTTATGAAGTTGCTTATTTAAATTTTTTTATTAACGTTAATACTTTTCCCCCGCTCAATCCGATATACTAAAGCGATATTCTAATAAGGCAAGCGAAAAAAGTAATAGAAAAAAAAAGGGAAGACAATAAATGAGGATAAACCTGTTACCCGTTTATTACTCTTACAAAATTAAACAAAAAATAACATTGCAAAATACCAAATCTAAGCAATTATTAAGACATCCTCAATTTATGTTCCAAATAATATGTCGATTAAGTAAATTTTAAACCCTTAAACTAAAATCTTTTTTGGGAGATTAATTTGTTGAAATTTTTATATTAATATCTATAACCCTCTTACTATTAACGTTTTAGACTCCAAAAAAAAAAGATTTTTAGGGGGCACTTTGTAGTTATAGTTTTCTTTAAACTTTAACGAATGCACGTTCTTGTCAGATACGAAAGTATTCAGCACAATAAAAAAAATAGATTATGGTGATTTTTGCTTCTTTTTCTTCTTCAAAGTGCAGGCAGTTTTGCCAGGCCTGGTGGACCCTTTTTAATTGTTTTATGGCATAAAATTATAGCGTTACCTGGAAAAAATTAGAACCCATTAACCGACCAGCTCTAGTTATAAGTCGACTTTTATTAAAGGCAATGTTACCCTTCCTTTGTATATTTACTATAAAAAACTTATTTACTAACATTTATTTTTTCTTGGTTTGCAAACGTTTATACTAAATGTTTGAAATACCAAAGCAGTGAGCTGTTATAAAAAAGGCGAATTCCAATTATTAGATATCTATGTTTTTGCGATTTAAAAATTTGTAATTTTTTTAGCAGCTAGACTTTTGGCCTTTTTAAGATTAAATAAAATTGTAGAAATTAATTATTAGTCAAATCTATATACCACACACGGTACAAATGTTTTTTTAGCTTATCGCCTGCTTCAACTTTTCTTCTAAATCGCTTAATATTAAAAAAATAAATTAATCTTACGATTAAATTTCTCTGGAGATCGCTTGTGCAAGATTTCAAATATAAATTACGCGGAGAAGAGTTATCGGCACAGCATTAACTTCCTAATTAACATAAATTGTGGAATGCCATACGAAGTTTGCCCTCCTTAAGTGTTTTAATAGATATTTACTGAAACGAGTTTTTACTTATATATATAAATGCTACTAAAAGATTGACACAACAGAACTGCAAACAGTTTAAATTTATACCTTGAACTAACCCGCAGCGTCACAATTTACTACTAAAATCGGGATCTGAAGCAGTTTTATTCCTATAAAGTGAGGAAAAAGTTCTAGGGAAGTGCCGTTAAGAAAAACTTTCGTCGTAGTCTTGGGTGGAGCAGTGATTAGTAGGAAAACTAGCGGAATCCCCAACGATACTGCCGCTTGTCTCGCTCGGACAGGAGCCCGGCTCGAATTGAGAGGAAACCACATCGCCCTGCAAATTGCGGTGCTTCAGGACGCCGAGCCAGAAAACTATTGGCGGATAAGCACATGTATTCTCGATTATTTGGAAGTCGACCAATGGTTTTCAAGATTGGGTACCACTCTCGCAGCTGTTGACCTCCACCATGTGCTTGACTCGGTACACCAGCGCCTCCATCGCCTTCCGCACAGCGGGCACGTGCTTCGAGGCAATAATACTTTTCCGCTCCTTTTTAAACATAGCCAATGAGAATAAGAATAAAGCGACAAAGAAACGCTGAGAAGCCTTTGAGTGGTTGCAAAGGATGTGCAGATAGCGAGTGACAATTTGCAAGTTTTTCAGTAGAGCACTGATGTCCTCCTTAAATCTTAAAAAGTGTTGATCCAAAAAAGGCATCCCCACGCGTATAAAAGCCTACGTAAGCAGAAAATATAGTGAAAATATTTTCTATATATAAATATTTTTCGCACAACTTTATAGTATTTATACACATTACAAGCAAAAATATTGGCGGGCAAAAAACGGCGTTACCTCCAAAAAGAGTCGCCCCAACTTCAGCAAAATATTAAAAAGTTTATTATTTTCGATGTTTTTGACAGCCGTGATGCAACGTGCAAAGTTTCTTGAGTAAAAAAAAATGTCGGCTGAGCAATAAATAAAAAGAGTGCGCCTCCTAGCGTACCCCACCAATAGCACGCTGCACCGTAGAAGCATCTCGTCGCTAAGTTGCCTGTCGGGCTCTAACGCAGATCAGTTTTCTAGCAGATAAGCCAATCAGCTTTCTGTATGTACCATGTTCAAAAAGAACTTTCAGCTGACCCACTATCTGTGTCAGCGCGGTCTTTAGATATACTGCACCGATGCACAAATTATTATGACTACCGCACTCAAACAACATTTCCATCTTCGATATCTGAAAGTCAGAAAAAACACGTTACAACAAAATAAAACAAAATTCATAAAAGGGACCAAAATCTGAAGCTCCGCTTCTTTATTTTCTACCAAACTAAAAAAGGAGGTCAAAAGAGAGGAGAGTTCGCTGGAAGAAAGCTCTTCTAAAAAACAGTGCTGTTGGGGATGCGCGCAAGCGAGTATTCGCCTGACGAGCGCTTCCAGCTGATCACGTCGAGCCGAGAAAAGATCGGTAGCTTTAGCCAATGAAGTCAGCGCAGAATAAAGTTCCTTAAAAAAGGTTTGCTTGTTGGGTTTAATAAATGAGCACGACTACTGGCTGCTGTAAACCTTCTGGGCTTTGAATGAGGGCAGGAGCGGCACAAGACCGTAAAGGTAACTGAACGCTCGCTCGCATAACTGGAGAAAAGAGAGTGGGGCGTGCGACTTTGCCTCGATGCGGTTGGAGAAGATAGTCACAATTTCTATTAAGCAGCAGTAATAAAGTAAAGGATTATAAACCATAATAACAAATCACCGTGAAGTAAACGGGAACGAGTAGAATCTTCATTGGTCAGTAACTTCTTAAAACAAGTTAAAATCATTTCTGCTAGTCTCGATATTGCAGAAATTGTTTCACTTTTACAGTCACTTCGCTGGAAATACATGATCAACAAAAATAGTGAAAAGTAACGAAAAAAGTTATAAATGATAATAATAGAAAGTGACGTTTGACAAGCCCTGGTAAGCACGCAGTGCAGTTTCTATGTGCTTGCAAAGAAAAGGCAGCAGCGAAACCAAGGAGGTCCACGTGGTTTCTGCACCATTTTTTGGAGGAAAGATAACCAGCTTGCGCTCTAACTCCTCTGTGAGAAGGGCGAGCTGCGGAGCGTTCAGCAGCAGGGCACCTTCGGTGTCTCTGCATAAGCCCTGCGCAGTAGCCTATGGCGTGGTCCAGACAAGTGTAAAAAAAGCAACTACAAACAAACCGGGTCAAGAGTCGAGCCGAGACTCAAAAGGCCTAAAGCGTCGAAGTTCAGCTCTCTTATTAAAAAGCGCGTCTGTGCAGACCACCAATTGGAGCGGGTGTAAAGAGGCACTGATACTTAAGTTACTCCAAGAAGTCTGCTCTGTCTTTCCTTAGAAGCCGCCTCCCCGTTGTACGGGGCCAGCCCGGTCAGCTCCTCCTCCACTTCACACAATAAATGAAGGCGCTGGACCAGTTTGCGACGCGTCTATAAGCAATGCAGAGGAGCAGGCAGACCAAGAAACGGACAATAAAGCAATACTTCTGCAGAGTTTTGCGATGAAAACGCATTGATAAGCGTGCGCAGCCAATTCGCACAAGCCAACAATACTTCACAGTAAAACTTTTGCAACTCGGGATCCTCCAATAGCCGCTTAGAAAAATCACAATATGCAGATAAGCCGACATAGCACTTTTGATAGGCCGTCGAGTTTTGCGCGCTCCAGCATCACCAAAGGGCAGCCCAACGTGGCATCGATATTTCGTAAGGAGCCTGGCGTACTTAAGAACACGTGTCTTTGACGTTAAAAAAACGCACCGACCGTTGTTCATGCGCTTCTCGCACATTTGCAAAAGATGAAACTGTGAAAAAAGAACGCCAAAACTCTCCGGAGTCTTTTGCATTGGCTAAAAATTCACTGCGGACGTTACTAATGGGGGGAAAAAAATTAGAAATAGGAGGACCAATGAAAGAAGGTTGACAGCGATCAGTGCAGCGTTGCCATCCAGATTATGCATGCAGGCGACGGCCAACAGATCGAACGGCCTCCAACAGATTGATAGCCAAAAAAAATAAGGAAAAGTCTGCAGAAAGACTTTTCGGGAACATCGCTGAAGAGCATGCCGGTAGAGACGTCGTCGATGCTGCAAAGAAAAGCCTCTTCAAAATCTCTAGTGAATCTCCTTCTGACTTCCGCCACAACTTCCTTTTCAAAACAGAGATATTTTCCGGACAGCTGGCATAATACAGCCGCACGCACCATAGACAGCGACACGTGTGAGAGGAGCAAAGCAAATTCCTCGCAAATGAGCGCTAAGCAGGAAAAGCGTTGAACCAACAAGTCCGGTGCGCAGAAAAAACGCAAAACTACCGCTGCAGGATGAAATGTGCGCGATACCGGTAAGCATATCGAGCACAACAGAGATTCGTCTCGCTGCGGCAGGAGAGGCTGGTGCACCCGTCTCCGTGAACAGCTATAAGCACGCGGTAAGGGGACGTTTTTGTTTGGACTACAATGTGTTTGGCTTACGTCCAGATTGGTATCGAGTAGGTTGAATTCTTGAGGGGCATCCAGATAACGAATCATAACAACAGCACCAACAATACCAACTCGTTTGTGACGGACTTGATTATCATAAAATAGAATGAAAAGCTTATAAGGGCTATAACTAGGTTATAGCAATACGGTATGCACTTGAGAGGCGCTTTCGAACGACCATGTGGACATCATCGAGACCGGTTTCTTTACTTTCCGAGCCGAGCGCGCACAGGACTGTTGAGGGGACTAATAAGATGACTTCACGTGAAAGCTTCTACAGCCCATGGGGACCTGAAAAAATTTTTCGCACTTCGGTAGTAGAAAATTCGTCGATGTAGTCCAGAATAGCTACGACCAATGAGAGTCGCTCGCCGTCTCTGTTATGCTTACAATTGGACAGAACAAACCTTTAATGAAAGGCTCAAAGGGACGCAGCAATGGCAGCGACTCCTCAGAAATGGCGTGTAAAATATCGACTGCAGTGGCAACTTCCTTTGGTTGTTTACTGCCAATGTGGACCACTAGCACAGCACCAATAAGGAGAAGGTGACAGATAACAGGACGCCGCGGGTTTCGTTCAAAAAAGGACTTGCCGAGGTTACTAACGATCCATTGGCGGCCTTCTCCACCCAACTTCTCAAAAAGTATTCTATATGCCCCACTCGCAAAGTCTCTAAGCGCCACCTCGTTACTCGCAAGCATATGGGAACACTGGACGATCAGAGAATTCATGGACGTTTTAAAGGCCTGGCCAGCAATAGTAACAAATGAAAGGGAAGCATTGAACGCACAGGGAAAGGTACACACAGAGAGAATGGGCTCTTCAACGAGTTGCTCCGCCACGTGTGCATTCAGTAGCTTTTTTCTGACCAGTTTTTTAATGAAAGTTTCAAGACGTCTTTTCTTGTGGTGGTGCAAACTCAACATGTGCAGAAGAACATAAACGTCTATAAGTTCCAAGCATTCAACCTTTTCGAGGCCCTGAGGAAAACAGACACGTGACAAAAAAGCGCGCTACAAGTATAAAAGGTAGTTTACGGTGATCCAAGAAGAGCCAATGAGAGGTTGAAACTGAAATCCCGACTTGAGGGCGTCCTACAAGAAACATTAAACGTTTGGAAACAAAACCGCGCTAAAAAATAAGCAAGGCAGATGCCAAAGTCAACAATCCATAAGTGCAGTGTGGAGGTCTCAAAATGTAGTTCAAATCGATAAAGTTCCTCAAGGCAGAAGCCACGTGATCTGCGTTTTGCGAGTCTGTTAACTGGAGGACGAACTTTACTAGGACGGGCAATGCCGCCACTTCCGCCTGTGGAGCAGGCAGAATTTTTAAATAATAATTTAAATTAACTAAACAAGAAAAAAAAAGTCGCTGCTCACGTAACAGAATTCAGCGATTGTAGAACAGAATTATGGACGGTGCTCAGATCTTCAGACGCCAAATTTAGATTAGTCAAACAGTCTAGAATAACAGTCTTCATAAAAATAAAATAATAGTGAAAATTAATAAAAACAGGCATCCATTTAAAAAAAATTAAAAATGTGGCTGAAAAATTAGTTGCACTGTTTATAAGATTTCGAGCTTTGCCGTAATCGCTTAGCCGTGCATAAATTTTTATAAAACTAATTCAACTTAATTTTAAGTATAAAAAATTAAAATAATTTAAAAATAATTAATAAAAGTTTTTATCAATTCTTGCCGTTAATTGGGGTTTAATTTCCAGCGTGGTCACTAAAAAAGTAGCGATCTCGTTATTGGCCACATCGTCCGAGAGAATCTCAGGTAAGCTAGTAATCAGCTCCTCCTGAACAGCAGCTGTAAGATGTAATTATTATATATTAATTTATTTCTAAAAAAATTTAATTTAATTCCTAAACACTATAATGAGTACACTCCAGAACGTTAAAAATTTCCTTCACTTTTCGAAAAAATGCTTGAGTGTTGAAAATTTTGTCTAACCAACGAAATTGCCGGATAATAAGAAATGGAAGGACGCCTCGTTCGCTACTACCAAAGTTACTTTGCAAAATTAAACTCTATTTTCCGAAAATTCAGAATTTAACAACCTTTTATCAATAAAATGCTGCGGAAGTTGTTCCAAAAGTAAAGAAATTAAATTATCTTGAAGAATTTCTATTCTTAGAAGAATGCGTAGAAGAGCTTCCTGATTAGTTCTATTTAAGCAAAGGCATAATAAATTAATATAAAAGCTAATCAAGTTTCGTAGTACAAACAAATTATATGAAAGAAAATTATGTGCAAATTTGTATACATACATAAAAGAAGATTCGTTGATATATTCAGCGGGAAGTAATAAAGTGTGCAAGACATCAACATTTCGCCACACTCGAGTAAGGCTTTCAAGAAATTCACTTGCAACTTTTGGAAAACGAGGATGCAACTTCAACTTCTAGTAAATATTAAGAGATATTAAATTTATTATTTACTTTTACTATAGCGTTGTTTAAAATAAATAATAATTTCAATATAAACCTATTAAAAGTAAATTACCTGCTCCACTGCGCGTCTTGTGGTAGTAGGCGAATAATCTAATCAGCAAATAACTAAATATAATTTTGTGAATTGTAGAATTTTATTTTAAAAGAACAAATTGCCAAACTACAGAAATTAAACAAAAAACAAAAGTGTAGTGTAGTTAACTGAGAACAGGAGGGCCCTCAACTGGCAAGGAAACACCACAGTCCGAAATAATAGACAAAAAAAACTCAGGCGCGTTAGTTAAAGTCATTCAAGAGAGAATAAACGTTTTAATTCGTTCTAAATGTTAACTAAAAGTCGCGCTTTCGTTGGGGCAATACGTCTCACAATTTTTGTAGAAACTTCAATGGGAGCGAAAGCTCAAGGGATTAGCGATGGAACCTCAAAAATTGTAATGAACGGGAAGTTCGCGCCTAGATTTCAGTTCTATATGTGTTTCTTCTGGTGAATATGATGGCATCATTATTCCACTTGGAAGCTCTTGAATATAAATCCCGTTTACTTTGAAGCTCCAACGCTAGATTATAATTGTCTTTTTACAAATGCCGTATGAGCAAAATTGAAAAGGTAAAGATAAGGCCATTTTTTTAAAATTTTTATAAATATACTTAAATTTTTTCATAAATTCTCTTGTTATAATAAAATCAATAAATTTTCTTTCTATACGAAGAGATAAAGCTTAACTTTATAGTAATATTGCGCCATTAGATAAACAAAGGGACGCTCCTCACGCATGATATTATTGAACGTTATTTTCACAATTTAGCATTGAGACTAGACCCGCCTTGCTTTCTAAATATCCCTGTGTTTTACAATAAGCACACTTAGTTATACTATCGTGCAAAATTATTTCCATGTTTTGCATTAAATTATTTAATGTAGAATAACTTTTCAATAACGTAATGGATTATTTGAAATTTGTACACAGTGTATACTTTTATGTTCTAGCTACATTCCGTTAATACCTGTTCTTATATTGGTTTAATATTCGAAAAGATATGAGCTTGTAAAGTTGAAAGATTTATTAGAAAAAATTTTGCACGTAGAAAAAATTTAATTTAATAAACGAGGTTTTAATATTTAGT